ATTAGATCAGGATTTGAAAGGGAGAATCCATGGGTGGAATCATGAGCTCCCAATAAATCGTAGGCCTGTTTTTCCAGGGAGAGGGCTTGCAGTATCGATTTCACATTCAAAGTAGTCTAGATCCCCTAAAAGGACATAGATAGATACCTTTTCTACTAAGAAACCACTGCAGTAAGTCTCCTGGGTAAGAACATTCAACTCAACGACAACTGGCAATTAAGAACTTCATTCAGAACAGACTGACATCAAGTCTATTACTGTATTAAAATTTCAAGTTAAATGCAATGGTCCATAAGAACAAACACAGGCTCTACTACTGAAGTTCAGGCAAACACTGCGCAGACTCAGTGATTCATCAGCATGAGGAAGGAGAACGCCGCCTGTGTTTCAATCCGTGTTTCCCCATCGGATCAGGCTGTTGTAGCTTAGTGTTTGACTTACATTTTCCTCTTATTTACCCTTGTGACTCTACTTCCAAAGCGGAAATCTGATTACGTGCTGGTTGTCGGGGACATTCCCTGTTCAGGAGTCATTTATGTCGGGGACTGTCCTCGACATAGTTGTATTGTTCATGAGTGTTTGGTTCACGAGGAGGGGAGATCCAGTGGCGATAGAGATAGCGAAAGAATACACAGAAAGACAGAAGGAGGGGGACAATGAGGCACCCCGAAATCAGAGTGGATGCATCACTGGTGGGCAGACTTGGGACTACAGGCATCGTGGCCTCTGCAGGCAGCAACTCACTGCCCTGCAATCGTTACTGCATGCCTTCCAACCCGTAATGCACACCTGGGCTGGCCTGGGCCTCTGTTTTATTTAGGGGAGAAGCTTCACACCAAGCTGGGAAGGACTAAGTCAAGGTACAGCTAACATCAGTAATTTTCCAGACATTCAGGTAACTTTACATTGTACTTCACTGGTTCGAATCCCAGGCCTGCAACTTGGTTTCTCAGGCTCAATTAACATATCTATAGCCCCTGAGCTTAGTTGGGGCAAGGTGAAAGGGAAGGACAAAAGGCTTGGGTGGAGTCCCGCTGTTTTGGCTTCCTGAGCCAGGTTTTTAGGAACTTGGCTGAAAAGCTAACACCTGGGACAGATTTAGGGAAGATGGCTTTTTTGTCTGTAGAACAAAGAACTGGGAAGTAGCTAAACTATTTTCAGTTAATCTTTTGGAGAAAGGCTTGGCCTTGCAACCTTTACAGTCTGGGCTTTTAGGAAAATATCACATTTATCTGTGGACATTAAGGGCTCATGTTTGGAATTAATAAATATAACTGAACACTAAGATGAAAAACAATTTGCCAAGTGGCTAGATCTGTTCCTCAGAGCCCGTGACCTGTAACACTCGGGCCTATAGGGCCTCAAACTTCTGACCAGGCCTACAGGGTCTGCAACAGCTGGTGATGCAGCAAACACAAGATAAATAAGTGAAAATAAGGTGAAAACAATAAAGCAGATGGAGAGAAGTGGAACGCCACCGGTTACTGGAAAAGTGTTAGGCAACAGTCAATGACGGGAGCAATTTTAAAGAATAAAGTGAGAATGGAGCATGCGGAAGATGCTGCCCTGTAGAAGCTGCTACAATTACTTAAGCACCACACTGCTTTAATTATGGAAACGAAAGGCTACAGGTAATTTGGTGGTGGGGGTTGTTGGTGAGTGCCACGGGGTCTGTTCTAACTCACATGGATCCTATGTAGGGTTTCTGAGACTGTGAATCTTTGCAGGAGCAGAAAGCCTCATCTTTTTCCTGTGGAGTGGCTAGTGAGCTTGAACCGACAACCCTGTGGTTCGCAGTCCAGTGTTTATCATAAACAAAATTTGTTTAGACAATCAGAACCAGTGTAGTAAGTCTATTGGTGAGCTGCCTTTCACTGAATTGAAAGCTGCCTCTGCAGAAAGTGAAGGCGGTTATTTTGTTGCAAAGCGTGAAAGCTGAAGGCTTTTTTGCCTGCGAGTTGGTTCTGACTCACAGTGACCCTGTATAGGGTTTCCAAGCAGTGGCTGGTGAGCTTGAATTGCCAACCTTGAGGTTAAAACTGAACTTGCAGTCCAGCACATTAACTCCATAGCATCACACCAGGACTCTTTATTATGCTATGTTGTTGTTAGGAGCCATCGAGTTGGTACCGACCAATAGAGACCTTCTGTACAGCAAAACGAAACACTGCCCAAACCTGGGCCAACCTCATTACTGTTGCCATGCTTGAGTCCATCGATGCTGCCACTTGGACAATCCATCTCGTTGGGGGTCTTCCTCTTTTTCTCTGATCCTCCACCTTACCAAACATGACATCATTCTCCAGCGACTGGTCCCTCCTGACAATATGTCCGAAGTATGAAAGACGAAGTTTGGCCAGCTTGGCCTCCAAGGAGCACTCTGACTGCACTTCTTCTAAAACAGATCTATTGGTTCTTTTGGCAGCCCATGGCACCTTCAATATTCTGCTCCAACACTATAACTCAAAAGCATCAATTCTTCTATGATCTTCCTTATTCACTCACTGTCCAGCTTTTGCATACATATGAGGTTACTGAAAATACCATGGCTTGGGTCAGGCGCACCTTAGTCCTCAAGCTGACGTCTTTGCTCTTCAACACTTTAAAAAGGTCTTGTGCAGCAGATTTGCCTAATACAATACATCGTTTGATCTCTTGACTGCTGCTTCTGTGAGTGTTGATAGTCAATCCAAGAAGAATGAAGTCCCTGACAACTTCAATTGTTTCTCCATTGATAAGAATGCTATTTATTGGTCCAGTGGTGAGGATTTTTGTTTCCTTACATTGAGATATAATCCATACTGAAGGCTGTGCTCTTTGATCTTCATCAGTAAATGTTTTAAGTACTCTTCACTTTCAGCAAGCAAGGTTGTATCATCTGCATATCGCAGGTTGTTAATGAGTCTTCCTCCAATCCTGATGTCACGTTTTTCTTCATAGAACCCAGCTTCTCGGATTATTTGCTCAGTTTACAGGCTGAATAAGTATGGTGAAAGACTACAACCTTGTCGCACACCTTTTTTGATTTTAAATTACTCAGTGTTCTCATGTTCTGTTCGAACTGCCTCTTGGTCCAGGTACAGATTCCTCATGGTATTGTGCCGTATCTTCTCATTATTTGGAGGCAATTACAAAGGCTTGGGTTACAGTTGCCAAGCCTTTGAAGAGTGGTTCTTGAACCATTTTGTCTCTGCTGTTAAACATTACTGCTTGGCCAAGAAAATTCCTTTCAAGACTTCCCTTGTGCTTGATGATGAAATAGACACCTAAACACTTTTGATGAACTTCAGCCCAACATAAAGTCCCCTCTCCTCCCCGACAGCACACTGGTACTTCAGGAAACCGTAGCCTCCTGTAAGGCTTATTATTACTGAAGCCCTTCTCATAAACCGTCAGGGCTTCCTGAGATGATGGGAAGACCTAAAGAGAGTTCTGGAGGGATTATAATACCTGTGATGTCATCTGAAAGATTGCTAATTCTTGGAATGAAGGAAAGCAGTCAAAAACAAAAGGAGTGTGGAACAATCTGTGTCCCCAGTTCCAGGAGGCTTTTCAGGGGTTTATAGCTGACGACCCTGCCGAAGCCAGGAGACCGGTGACTGATAGCAGTTAGACATCAGTGATAATGATGTCCTGAGTCCCTCAGCATCTCTGCTGGAGGACTAACTGATACAGACCTTAGGGAACTAGAGCAGCAGATGACAGCAGCATTTAAGGAAGAAGACCAGGCCCTAAAAACTCCAGAACTGAAAACGGTTTTAAGGAAAGAGATGGCTGAAACCTTTCATCTCACTGAGCCAGGGATGACAAAGTTACAGAAGTGAGATCTAAATGCTGAGAGGTTCATCAGCGTTTACCGTACTGCAGCCGAGGGCCTGCGCAGCTAAGCAGGCTATTCATGAGGAGACGAAAAGAGCTCGGGACAAAGCTCTCTCAACACCCACTTCAAGAATCTGGCTCCAGTGATGAACATCCTTCCTCTCGGGCAGCAGACCCACAGTCTTCATCAGTAGTCTCCATCATCTTCTGCATTCTCCAACCGTTAGTGTCATCACAATGCTCCTTACCATCCCTGGATGTTGTGATTAGGCGCCATCAGGTCTTTTCTGACTCACAGCAACCTAAATGCACAACAGAACAAATCCCTGTGCGGTCCTGCGACAGCCTCGTGACTGTTGTTACGTTTAAGACCCTTGCTGCTGTCACTGTGTCAGTCCATCTCAGTGAGGGTCTTCTTCTTTTTTGCTGACCCTCCACTTTATCAACTATGATGTCCTTCTCCAGGGACAGGTCCCTCCTGTTAAAGGTAGGAGAGACACAGTCTCGCCATCCTGGCTTCTAAGATTGCCGATTTTTACGGAAGTCGCCTGCCACATCTCTGTCCCTCGGAGACCTTTGGATTAGCAGCTGAGTGCTTAACCCCTGCTTGTTAAAGTATATTAACAGTCAAAGTAATTGATCGTTTCCCAGGTTATGACGTCTTCTGCCAAATTACTTCCCTGAAAGGTCAAACACACGCTGTACCAGCAATGAATAAATATACTTACTTGACTGTACTCAGTAAAATCATCCATATCTCTTTATTACCATATTTTTTTTTTCTGCTAATTAAGTGGGAAAAAATAAACTCTTTGGGTAATTTTGCATTTTTACGGTTGAATACATTTCTACCATATGATTACTGAGTAGCTGAGCTTTATCTTTTGTGAAGTTATTTATCCGTGTCTAGGACCTCTTTATATCAAGTGGTGCTTTGTATGGATTTAAAAACAAAATTCTAAGAATTGTTTATATAATTAAACTGTTCAACTCATGTTTACCAACTGATGGGAAATATTACTCCCCCAATCTATGGTTGACTGAAAATGCAGCTGTAATTTTAACTAGACGTTTATGCTCCAAGTTTACATCTTTAGGAGCCGCCTGGGCTTTCACCCGCCCTTCCCTTGACTGCCCAGCTTTTGGCTTTACTCTCACACACCCAGAGGAAGGAGCATTACCTGTTGGTCATCAGGAGTCCATATACCACACGTAATCTGACTCTCCAAGTTGATCTCAGACGACCAGTGTCTTTGTCCACTGACAGAACCAACGAGGACAAATCCATCTCTATAGGAAATGAGTGCTTGGGTTCCATCATGGCTCCAAGTAAAATCGCTCACCTTTGGACACACAGAGAGAAGTTCATTAGTTAGCTGAAAGGGAAAGCAGACAACAGAAATGGGAATCCTGATATGATCAGCACTGAATGCTAACCACAAGGTTGGTGGTTCAAACCTACCAGGTGCTCCTTGGAAACTCCATAGAGGGCCACTGTGAATCAGAGCTGACTCAATGGCACTTAATAAGAGATGGGGATACTCCTCAGTAGCAAAGATGGTGAGACTTGGGCTTGCTTACTTTGGACACGTCAGGAAAGACATCATGTTTGGTAAAGTAGAGGGTCAGCGAAAACAGGAAACCCTTCCAGGACTGACACAACAATGAACTCAAACACCAATCGTCAGGAAGATGGTGCGAGACCCAGCCAATCCTCCTCCTGTACGAGGAAAGGTGGTTGTGTTGGAGCCAGCCTGATAAACTACAGGAGCTCTAGGTCAGTAGCTTAGCCTTTAGGTTAAGGAGAACACCATAGTGGCACTATGGGAAGACCCATGAGAAATGCCCAAGGATAAAACAAACAGAGTGCATACTGTGTGCCAACACTGTCCTATTGCTTCATGTCCACTCAGCCCCTGAGCCTCGTCATCCTGAGGGAGGTATTGTTACCGCCAGTTTACCAAAACAGGAAGGCACAAAGGGGTAAGGAATTGACCTATGCTCACACAACAGAGCCAAGGTCACTCCCAGGGCTGTGTGGCTCCAGCATCCTTGCTCCTGATCCCGGTCCACTGACTCCCATGGCTGGGCAGTGGATTCTCCACCACAGTTTGCTGAGCACTTAGCTAGCAAATCTGTAAGCTTAAGGTAACACCCAGTATGGGGGAAGTGAGCACAGTCTGACCAAGGTAAACGCTGTCATTAAGATGTACACAAGAAAAAGACACCTGTTGGTAATGCTATGACACATACAGTCTGTAACAAAAGCAACAACAACCAAAAAATACATGTGTGGGGATATGTCTACTGCATACATGCATGTGTGCTGTTGTTACTGTCAAGTCAGTTCCGACTCTTTGCAACCCTGAATATGGTTTCTGAGGAGTACCTGGTGGTTTTGAACTGCCAACTTTGTGACTGCTAGCCCAGTGCTTCTCCTACAGCGCCACGCCAGGATATGTGCATGGGTATGTAAATGTGTAACATATAGGAATATCTGTATCAATGTAGATACACATATGGTGTCCTGGTATGGCACTGTGGGTTAATGCAAGGGACAGCGAGGTCGGTTCGAACCACACAAGGCTGGTGGTTTAAGCTCACCAGCCGCTCCTTGGAAACCCTCTACAGGGTCGCTATGAGTTAGAACTGACTTGATGGCACTTAACAACACATACACACATATATGTATTATGTGCGCACATGTACATTTATTCACATACAGAATTAAGCATGTAGGCAGCACATTTTTTGGATGTTTCTTAGATATAGCCAACCAGCGCATGGGACTGGTTTTCTAGGAATTTTTCCAGGAACTTTTGGAAGCCCCCTGGTACACACACACACACACACACACACACACCTATGTTTATTTGCTGTTGTATGCTGCCAAGTTGATTACCTCTCAGAGCAACCCTGTACAGGGTTTCTGAGGCTGTATCTTTACGGGAGCAGAAAGCCTCATCTTTCTCCTGAGGAGCTGCCATTCAGCTTGAATTGCTGACCTTGTGGTTAGTACTCCAGTGCTTATCCTAAAGAGCCATCATGCTCCCCTATCTTTATATATATGAAAAATATATCTAAATACAAATATATTTATCAGGTTGTTGATATTCTTAGGATATTGTAAAATTTCTGGATAAATTCTGGCTATGTCATATTTCATATAGGAGATTCCTTTTTATTTCCGGTGAGACTGTTAAGAATTCCTTGTGGTGCTGTGCATTAGGCATTAGGCTGAAAACTGCAAGGACAGTAGTTCAAACCCACCAACTAACTGCTCTGAGGAAGAAACATGAGTCTATGTGCTCCCAGAAAAGATTTATAGTCTCAGAAACCTATTTGTTGTTGTTGTTAAGTGCTGTTGAGTTGGTTTCCGAGGAACAGCTGGTGAGCCTAAACTGCTGACTTTGTAATCCAAACTGACCTTGCAGTCCAGCACATTAACTCACAGCGTCACACCAGGGCTCTATATGTTGCTGTTGTTAAGTGCCACTGAGTTGGTTCCGACCCATAGCGACCCTGTATAGGGTTTCCAAGGAGCAGCCAGTGAGTTTGAACCACCTACATTGAGATTCAACTGGCTTTGCAGTTCAGCGCATGAATCCACGGCGCCACACCAGGACTCCAGGTCTCTTTCTAGGAGATACTAATGGGTCAGAATTGACTTGCTGGCAGTGGGTTGAGTTTGAGTTTATTTTCTGGAGACTATTTTTTCCATCCTTTTACTTTAAACATTCACATTGAGTCTTAGGTCTGACTCTTATTAGCACATCTCTAAGTTCTTTGACAGATAATGCGTGACGTTTCATCTTTGATTACATCATCTACTCTGGTTACATTTGTTTCAGTTACTGTCCTATTTGATCTTGTTTCAAGATACTTTAATAACAACCACAGCTTTATTCCTTTTCTGTACTTGTCATCTTTTGTTTCTTTTAAATCTTCTCTAACTAAAAAAATTATACCGATAAAATTCACTATTCTTACACTTAAAAATGTGCAATTTCTTGGGAAATTTGTGTTATTACTGATATGTCACATGCTGAGTGATAATAAAATCAATGAAAAAACACCAAAAAGGACACGGACTTTTTGCTGTTTTCTTCGCAGGGGTCACGACTTCTGTAGCGAGCCACTTCGTGTCTCCATCCATGGCACGGATTTGTGAGGTAGTGCATGAACAGCCCGTCAAACATACCCAAAGGCTGTTTCCTGGGGTGACTCAGGACTCTGGTGTCACTGGCATTACATTCCATCCAAGAATACTACACAGCTTACTTAAGAATTTAAAGTTACTGTTAAACCTTACACCCACACTATCCCCTGCTATCATGTTAGAGCTGAACAATAGTTGAGCTGAACTAGTGAAAAAAGTCTGCCGTGAGCATCATGCTCTTTAAGACCTCTCAGAATAAGGCCGCACTCCAAAGAGCAGACAGAACCTTGGCGGGCAGTGAGTTTATGCTAATGGGGAAGAACAGCTGGGTAAGAACAGTTGGACAACTCAAAGAATGTCACCAATGTCACTGAATTGTACACACAGAAACTGTTGACTGGTGTGTACTGTGCACATGCTCAATAACAAAATACATACAACTGAGAGTAAACACAAGCACAGCAACAACGTGCACAGAAAACTCACTGCATTCCTCAAGATAGTCCAGTCCCTTCGTTTGCCAGGCTCCTGCTGCCTAGTAACTGTTCATGTTGTAAATCATGTATCCTGGGGACGAGGTGTACTAAAATGAATGTAGAGCGAGGGGCAAAAACACTTCTTAGAGACACAAGCAGTCTGGCAGTCACAAAAGGTGGGTGGTGTAGAAAGCGTATGTGAACTAACTGGGCTATCCTCGAGTACTAAAAACATCCGACAACCAGAAACATAAAGAGAGGGGACCAAGTTCCCAATGTGCCAAGAGAAATGAGCATGAAGCCCTTGCTTTGGTTGTGAACAGACAAGGGGTGTGGTGGTCCTGCTGGATAGGAGATGGTGCTCAGATGTGGAGCTGTGAAACTGAGCCAGGCGTCGGTGTCCTCAGTGACCGCCTGTGAAGGAACGCATGCCCACATCAGGGCTCATAAAAGACTCCCAACCATTGCCTGACGTGAAGCTGTTACAGCAACACTCAACTTCTGTTTGATTTCTTTGTGAGAATACAAGGTAGGCTGCATAGTGAAGATCAATCACCGTGTCTCTTAAAGAAGTATGGCTTCTCTCAGAGCTGGTTTCAAAGATGTTTCTCCTGCAGCCACGAAATGGTTATCTCTCTCGCCAGAGGTTTTCCAGGTGCATAGAGCCACACGCCTCCCACAGTGACATCCTCACCTGAGTCACGATGTTGCCTATCCTCACATACTATCTGCCTCCAACACAATGAGGGCAACCAAGCCTTCCAGAGTACAAAGAGTTTCAGGGGGACAACTGCTTAGTAGAGTCCTGAGGCACTGGGAATCATAAGTCCAGAAAGCAAAATTATATGAACAACAGCAGCAGATAGCAAGCTGTAGCAATTACTTTGGTTAAACCTAGCAGGCAAAGGCATATAAGAGGTTTGAAACTACGTGTGAATTTAGAGACCATCTCAAGAACAGATTTATTTGATGCATTATGCACTAAAATGACCCAAAACTAGACAAGCTGTGGGATAGCATCAAGAACATTATACATGAAGAACCCAAAAGTCCATTAAAAATACAGGAAAAAGAAGACCAAAATGGATGACAAAAGAGACTCTGAAACTTACTCTTGAATGTAGAGAAGCTAAAACAACTTGAAGAATTGATGTGGTAAAAGAGCTGAACAGAACATTTCGAAGGGTAGCTTGAGAAGGCAAAGTCAAGTATTATAATGAAATATGCAAAGACCTGAAGTTAGAAAACCAAAAGGGAAGACCATGCTCAGCATTTCTCCAGCTGAGGGAACTGAAGAAAATGGCAAGTCTCAACTTCAAATATTAAAGGAGTCTGTGGGCAAAATATTGAAGAGCAGGAAGCAACCAAAGAAGATGGGAGGGATATACAGAGTCACTGTACCCAAACTCATTGGTTGACATTCAACATTTCAGGAGGTACCATATGATCAAGAACCACTAGTACAGAAGGAAGAAGTTCATGCTGCACTGAAGGCAGTGGCAAAAAAATAATGCCCCAGGAATGGACAGAGTATCAGTTGAAATGTTTCAACTCCTCTCTAGCAAGAAATTGGGTGTTCCCTCATCTATACCAAGAAATCTGGCCAACCAACTGGCTGAACAAATCCGTATTTGTGCCCATTCCACAGAATGTGGAAATTACCAAGCAATATCATTAATACCATGTGCAAGTACAATTTTGCTGAAGATTTTTCAAAAACAGTTGCAGCAGTACACTGACAGGAAGCTGCTAGAAATTCAAGCCGATTCAGAAAAGGACATGGAAGGGAGCCAGGTTTCTGATGTCAGATGATGATTTAACTTCTGAACGATCAGCTCCTGAATACGGAGGAGGTTCCCACACTTGGGGTTCTAATTCAAAAGTAAGCACCCAGGGACGGAGCACGGCCTTTCCCTCTTCTTGTTGTGCCATGGAGAAAGGCAGTAAGCTGAGGAGGGCTTACCAGAGTCAGTCCCTATTACTACATTCACATGAAAGAACTCAGACTCATGCACTAAAGAGTGTTCAGTTTTTACACAAAGCTGTACTTGTCGTCCATGATCATGTACAAAGGGACTTCAAAAAGTTCATGGAAAAATTCCCTTATCTCCTAAAACCATTTTCCCCTGAACTTTAGCCCCCTTGTATTATGCTGGACTTCAGCCAGTAACTGCTAATAAAATTTCAGCAACTACCGAACAGTAACAACACCCTCGCTCTTTATGACTTCATTTCACTTCACTGGCCTCTCAAACTTGGGAAGCTCAAGACATATTTACAAGGGGTGGGGAGCAGAGGTGGAGAGGCCAGTTCCTTAGAAATGAATGGAAAGGTAGTCACAGGGAAACCTCCTAGGGCTAGGGGGCGAGTGGTCCAGGAAACCCCTCCACATTCCGTCCCCCCAGAAGACTCAGTTCTGTCCCCAGCGGGGCGTCCTGCTCACAGAAGTCTTGAAGGAAGCAGCAGTGCTCAAGGAGCCCACCCCTCAGCCCCTCAGGCAGGAGGAGGCAGAGCTGTGCCTTCAGGCCAGGAGAACCCTGGGGGGGGGGGGGGCTCTAAAAATAGACAACTCCACAGGGTTGCCACACAAGTCATTGGCTTCCTCCTAGTGGAGACAAATCCATACCAAAAAGGAAGTGAGGCCCACAGGGGGCCACGCTAATTGAAACCTGACAGAAAAGAGTGTGAAAACCCTCTGCTTGGTGAGCGGGCTGCGAGGACCCAAGTACAGGTTCTCCGGGTGGGTGAGAAGCATGACGCTGACAATCCCGGGAAAATACCTTTGGAAGGAGTGGAGCAGTGATACGCCAGCAGTGCTTCAGAGGGTCCAAATTTAACATGCCATCACACACTGAACGGTAAGAAACGATCTCACAGATTTAATTAAAGCTGTAAACGTGTGAGTTCTCACAGAGCAGCAGAGCTGAAGAGAGGCAGTTATGATCTGGTCCTCTCTATTTTAATCTAGACACGCTCCAGAGGAGTGAGAAGCAGGTTCTAATTTTATTTATTCCCACTCCTCCTTCTTCCAGAGAGAACTCAAGAGCTGTGAGGCTTTTTTGCTGAGAATACTTGGTCTAACCCTCTTTCCTGCCCCCACGTACCTGAGCCCCACGGTCATTAACCAGCTCCACAGACCATCTGCCTTCATACTGGATCCACACAAATATCCCTCCGTCTGCGTCACACGTGGCCAGCTTCTGGTAGGGTTCATTCCACCTCACCAGCACAACCTAGAAAAAGAAACAGGAAAGGAAGGATTTACCAGAATGGAAAACCACGAGTCGTAAGACCTCACAGAGTGAAACATGGTGTCGTTAGTCAAAGGAACATGGACTCAAGAACCGCAGTGTCCGTGGGGATGGCAGTGCCCACCAGGCAATGCTTAGGGGTTGTCCAAGGAAACGATGCGAAGAGAAGGTGGGGAATTAGCCGAGAACTGTTTTACATGGGACCAGATCCATTCTGACGTGGCTTCCTGACAAACAGCAGACACCTGCGTAAAGAATCAATTTTAACATGTATGTGCCCATACACGGATTCCTGGTGTGGCACTGTAGGATAAACACTGGACTGGTATCCACAAGCTGGCAGTTCAAACCCACCAGTCATTTGTAGAAACCCTACACAGGGTTGCTATAAGTTGGAACTAACTACAGAACAAAAAACAACTCTGAGGAGAAGAGATTGTTAAGGTACAGCTACCGAATTGCTAGCACCTTCTATTGCATGAATACTGGGGTCCGAAAATCCCAGTTAGCATAACCTCCATACTGGGTGGGGGAGAGGGCGGGGGTGACTGGGGTCAGTTGGCGAATAGACACAGACATGGTAAGAACTCCAATCTCTTTAGATGATCCTGTGATCAAAAGTCTGAGAAGGCAAAGTAGTTTCGAGCTTGGGCTCTGATGCCAGCCAGACTAGTTTGAATTCTGGATGCAGAACATACAACTGTGGGCTTTGAGCTAGTCTGGTTTATAAACCAGGGAGGTGGTGAGGAATAAATTACAAACAGAACAGCTGGTATATGGAATTTTTCAAGAGACGTTAGGACTGCCTGTCTCGAACTTAAAGGGATGTTCACGTAACACCTCAGCATCCAGCAGCTAAGGCTCTGAGGCTGGTCACCACTCCACCAGCACACACTGGACTGTAGCCAACTGCAGCCCCGCCATCACAGTGTGGTCCCCAGCCTTACCGCTGAGTGATAACCTGCATCTCAACAGGTATACACATGCACATTCAGGTTTCTACTGCACAACTAAACGTCCAAACCACTGTTTGTGATGTCAGGTAAATGCTAAAACAGAGCTCAGTTTGACTTACTTTTGTTGTTGTTACATGCCTTTGAATCAGTTCCGACTCACAGTGGTGGTGGTGGTGGTGGCTATGTGCCGCAACGCTGGTTCCGATGCACAGCAATACTGTATACAGTTTCTGAGACTGTAAATTTTTATGGAGTAGAAAGCCTCATCTTTCTCCCGCAGAGTGACTGATGGATTTGAAGTGCTGACCTTGTGTTTAGCAGCCCAACGTGTAACCCACTACGCTACAAGGGCTCCTTCTGATTCACACAGTGACCCTATGTAAAACAGTACGGAACACTGTCCACTCCTGTGCCACCCTCTATTTCTGTGTGAGTCCACTGGTGCGGCCACCGTGTCAACCCTTCTTAATAAAGGGCTTCCTTACTGACTCTGATCCTCTACTTTCACCAAGCACGGTGCCCTTCACCAGGAACTGGCCCCTCCTGAGAACATGTCCTTTCTTCTAAGGAGAATTCTGGCTATACTTCTTCCAAGACAGATTTGTTCATTCTGGAAGTCTATGGTATATTCAATAATCTTTGCCAACTCCGTAATTCAAATGCATCAGTTCTTCAGTTTTTCTTATTCTTATTCATTATCCAGCTTTGGCATGTATCTGAGGCAACTGAAAATACCATGGCTTGGATCAGGTGCACCTTAGTCTTCAAATATTGTTTTTTAACACATTAAAGAGCTCCTTTGCAGCGGAGTTGCCCTAATGCAATGTAATTTTTGATTTCTTGACTGCTGCTTCCATGGGTGTTGACGACTTCAGTATTTATTTACTCTGTTTATCATGCTATTGCTTACTGATCCAATTGTAAGGATTTTTGTTTTCTTTATATTTGTTGTTGTTATGTGTCTTCGAGTCGGTTCTGACCCATGTTGTTGTTGTTAAGTGCTGTTGAGTGGGTTGCGACCCATAGTGACCCTGTACAGGGTTTCTGAGGAGCAACTGGTGAGCTTGAACCACTGGTCTTGTAGTTCAAACTAACTTGGCAGTCCAGCGCATTAAGCCACAGCACCACACCAGGACCCCTCTGACCCACAGCGACCCTGTATAGGGTTTCCAAGGAGTGGCTGGTAAGCTTGAACCATCGACTTTGTGGTTCAAACAGACTTTACAGTGCATTAACCCACCGCGCCACATCAGGACTCCTTGTTTACATTTAGAGCTAATACATACTGAAATCTACACTCAGAACTGTTATCGTCCCTACTCCTGTAGACAAGAAATCTGAGGCACTGCTGTAATTGGCCCGAGGCCTCACACCACCGCAGGGTGGCACCACAATGTGGACTCACACATCTCTGCACATGCACCACCTCGCTCTACAAGGGGCTTCAAAGTACCCCAGGAGGACTGTGCATAATTCAGAAATATCAAATCTAGTATCAAACAGCAGCTCTGGAAAATAACAAACGTCTATGCTTTGGGACAATAAAGAAAAGGAAAAACTGCTGAGTCAAGTCCAGGGATACCTGGGAGATACTGACAGAATAGTTTCAGACCACTGCAACAAAGTGACTCTCGGAATACAGTGAGTCACAAATATCTTGGTTTCCCAGGGCATGTAAAAGTAACACTGACAATACACTGTGGTCTAGTAAGCATGCAGTTGCTGCTATGTGCCATTGAGTTGATTCCGACTCACAGACACCCTATGTGTAAAACAGAACAAAACACTGCCTGGTCTACACCAGCCTCCAAATTGTTGTTACACTTGAGCCCATTCCTGCTACCACTGCAACCGCATATGAAAAAAGTGGAAATATTGTGAGAATCACCAAAATGTGACGTGGAGACTGGACGTGAACACATGCGGCCAGGAAAATAGCACAGAAAGACTTGCTCGACGCAGGATGCCACAAACCTTTAGATTGTAAAAAATGCAGTATCTGTGAAGCACAATAAAATGTGCTTGCTTGTACAGAAGATTGAAAATGCCCTGTTCAAGTCTGCAGTGCATATTCATGTGTGTGTGTGGCTGGGTGGGGGGCAGTATCCTGCATCCTCATGGAGGGGCTCTTGCCCACCCACTTGCTCCCACCAGGACCACCAGGACCACAATCCAATGCCTCACTGTCCATTGCTGCTCAAGTGACTCCTGAAATCATCTGATCCATTGGGGAGAGTCGAACCACAGATACCTGGGTTTATCCCAACCATCCACCTACAACAGCTGAAACAGAATCAAGTCAACCCATAGAAAAGGGTCTAAGAGGTCAACTATCAGTCATAGGCCAGGCCAGCCCAGCCCAGGGACCTGCCACGAGGACACACTGTGAATTCCCTACGGAATGATGGTAAAGTCGGAGTTCTGCAACTTGCAACAAAAGGAGATAATTAATGGTTACCTCAAATTACTACAAGTAAAAGGTCAGAATAAACTTGGGAAACTGCATTTATCAAATATAAGAAAGGATTACAAGAAAATGTTCATTAAACAAAGAAAAGAATGGCTCTGTTCCCCTAGTGAGCAAAGAACGACAAATCACAAGGAACTGGTTATGGGACCGTGTGAAGGTCCTTACTCAGCACCCCATCCCAACACGCTCCTCCCGGGCTTAAGATTTCCAGCACACATCCCCTTTCCCCAGTCAGGAGCAAAAGGCTGAAGTCACCCCACCCTGCTTCTTCCAGACTTAAACCCCACTGTGTGGAGCACGCTGTGGCAGTCCCCTTGTGGCCTCGAGGAAGATGCTGCATGACTCCATTCATTCCACAACCATTTACCGAGCACCAGCCACATCCCAGACACTGTTCTAGTTTCTAAGAAAACGAAGTGAGCAAAAGAGACCAAGTCTGCTCTTATGGAACTTGTCTACACAGCAGAGAAAAGCACACCTAAACATCACAGAGGACTTGAGATGTTTCCTCACTGCCAAAGTGTAACAACAAAAACTATCATGAAACAGAATATCCAGTGCTGACCTCAAGCAATATATATCAATAGTGGAGCTCTGATGTGATGCTGTAGGATAAGCACTGGACTGCGAACTCCGAGGTTGGTGGTTCAAACCCACCAGCCTCTCCTAGGAAACCCTAAATAGGATAGCCATGAATTGAAACAGACTGGACGACACAACAACATGTATCAATAGTACCCCCCTCCAACATTCAGAAACAGATAGTGGTGATGATTTACACAAATGGCATCAATGTCAGTGAACTGTACGTGTAAAACAAATGGTGAATAGACAAATATTTTATTTGTACTTTTCTCACAACAATAAAAAGTAGCCCCACACACTTCTAATTCATTCTCCTTAGTCCATGATCGAATTCCATGTCTATTACACTAGGAATGGAAATTAATTTGAAAGCCCCTGTTATTGATGTTTCTATTTTAAATTTTATGTTAAAGAAAAACATACTGGTGGTAAGAGAATAATATTATTAAAAAGATTCACCAATGTTGCCTGTAATTAATTCCTAACTTCCTAAGGGAATCCTCATAAAGTCTAGTTGATCATAAAGTGCTGCTAATGATCATTTGGCTTAAGACACGGTCCTTGTTCTCCTGTCTTGTGGGCAAGTCACACTCAACGGGTGCAATTATTAACGGGAAATAAAGAGTAACAACTAAAACCCCTGCTGTGAAGGGCTGCTTTGTTAATCTACTTTTCAGGGTACATGCATATTACTGTACTGTACCATTTCATAAGAAAATATTTCCTTCTGTTTTCATTTGAAAGTTTACAAAAGGAAATAAATGGCAACACTCCCATCCTTAACTGTTCTCCAAACACACACACACACACACACACACACACACACTGGGCACAGAGTTAGAAAGAAATGCTTAGAATATGAAAGTCACGTCCTATTATTTTTAGTATTTCCATTTTATTCTTCATTTAAAACATAAATACACTGTTTTTATAAAGTGCCCATGTAAAATAAAGGTCAGAATACGCTATTT